GTCAAAAATTCGCTTTCCGTCAAATTCAACTGCTCGCTGCTGATTGGTTGACCCAGTTACTCATCCTCCGTTGGCCAATCAGACTGTCCACGGCTCCTACTTTCGGCAACACTAAAGTCTATCGATAACTTGGAACTGAGGGCGAGGACGACGCAAAAGGCGACTGGAGTGATGACGACAAACCAGAAGACGGCTCAGCGGCCGCTAACCGGCCAACCCCGTGAGTCTGTGGGGAATGAAGACAGGCCAGACAGCCTGACTGGCATGAGAGGGCCGTGGGGGCAAAGTGTTGCGACAGCCGAGCAATTCTGTGTTTCAGAACACTGCTGATACACTGAATGGGGGCTGTTCTGCTGCGAATGTTATTTTTTTTCGCTCACAGCTAACATTGTTGCCGTCATTTTAACTGGCGTGCAAGCGGGCGTCTGGGCTGGGCTAACATCGCGGCGGCCGGAAGTTGATGCCATATTGAGCCTGTTGCCATAATCTGCGAACTATTTGACTGGACTATGCAGGCTCTTAAACCAATTGCGGAGAGAAGAGTGCGAATGGGTTTTAGATTATTTTAGCCAGTCTGCTTTAGATGCTTGTACCATTTACAAAATAAACCGGAAATAAATACTGATCATTAAATTTTCCCTTTTTTCGGTTTTAGGTGAAGACGTACGCACGCACGTTTGAAACATGCATGCAGTATCGAGAACTAATATACCATAGAAAAGTCATCGCAACGTACGATAACTTACTAAAAACAACCTGTTCTCCGAAAATGAAAGCTAGAAAACGAATACGTTTTAGGCAGTTTAGGAAACTGACAATTTAAAATAGGTCCAAAGGTCTGAACGAAGCATTATGCACAGTATGAAGTAAACTTCAGCTTCTGCAAGGCAGAATAGAAGATAAAGCACAGAATTTCATCAACCACAGTAATGCTAAGGGACAAAGATAAGGACTACCTGACATTCCAACGACTTTCGCCTTGTGCCCCAGTAAAGAGCAGGCGAATATAATATATACATATAACATAAATTGTATAGTTAAGGCCCAAGAGGACCTCTCCGTAAAAACGTAGGGCAACGGTAGTCTAAGTAGTGCACCTCATATACCCCTAGCCCCAGCATTTTTTCTTCGGAACCGGTAGTTATAGGAGTTTTGGAGGTGGAGAAATAGGATAGGCAGTGAAGTAAATTTGTAGAAGTGGAAAGTGGAAAAATGTAGTTGAATATGATTTCCGCGGCCGCTGGAAGCAAGTTGTTCTGCATGTAAATTGAAGCGCCGTGGACTATACTAATCAGAGTCCAGAACGGTAAGTTGGACCTCAGGTAAGTTGAAGTAGACGACCTCCTAACTACCATTTCCATTTTTCCAAGGTTTGCATGAAACCTGCATTTTGATAATCGGGTTTTTGCGCAATAAATTTAACGATAATGCAGATTGGATAAATCTACAGATATAAATCAACAACATTTCTAAATACAATAAAATAAAAAAATTATATAGTTAATATTAAAGCATATTCCACAGCCTACCCCAATTCCCCACCCACGAAAGCCCTATAACCACCGTTTTCATAAGAGAAAATGCTAGGATTAGCGGTATATGAGGTGCACCACTCAAACTACTGTTTCCAAACTTAGTGCTGCGGTAAAAATAAATAAAAAGTTGGTAACCACAGTTGCGCGTAAGCAATCGCACATCAACAGGAACGAAAGGTATGTTACACATATTAAGTCAGACCCGATTTACAAGGGACCGTCATTTAAAATAATAGTCAACAATATTAGGTAAATATGATGAGCTGAGAAAGAGACAGTGAAAGAACCTCCTATAATGTAAATAGGTGGCAGAGTTCAGCGAGCCATCTATTTCAAAAAAATAAATAGAGGAAAAGAACTGCTCAAATAGGTAGTTAGATTTATATAGTATGATATGATGCACTGAGATAGGATCGTGATATTGAGAGTCCGGAACGTTTCTTGTCGGGGGGAAAATCATATAGCGCCATGGGGGCGAGACAAGAGGACCTCATCTGGGACAACGGGGTCGAAACTAGGAGGGGACAGTAGAAGTCACGAGAGCAGCACCGAGATGCCGGAGATGCGACCAAGCAGAAGCCAGAGTCCACCAACAAGTTGGCGAAAGCATAAGAACCCACGACGCTCATCAACAGAGAGTTCAAAGATCACTGATAGGATTGCAAAACGGAGATTTGGCATCATTTGGAAATTATGCTTGACTCTGCAGGGGACAATTAAGCATATTTAAAAACAGGTTCACTATAATGGGAAGAGTCTCAAATACAAGAAGGACCCTTTTAAAGGTCCGGATGTTGCGTGTTTGGGAAGGAAACAGATAATAAGGACTTTACTTCTTCTAAAATCGTTTACGTATTTTTCTTTTGAAAATTGGTAATGCAGGTGACAAGCTAATTTCGAGTGGAAGATTATTCCAGATGAAAGCATATTTGGAGGCAAAAAACAAGAACGCTTAGATGTTGAGCTAAGGGGTGATGAAGGTATCATGGACGAGTTACGGCTGGCGTGAGGTCGGTCTACCAGAGTAACAGCATTAATTTATGGAAGATTATGGATATTGTTAACGCGAACCTGGAAGCATATGCCGGCTTTGAGTCCGGTTTCGAGTGATCGACTACCTGCGCTCCTATTGTTGAGTAAGTTGACTAACTGACTGTATGCTAACAGTAGCAGGTGGCATAGTGAATTTCTATAATACAATTCCGTTTTGATCCCTGCGGGAAGTAATGTACTGTTACCCAGATTTAAGTCAATCACACTCACATTTTAAAAATCAGCATACAGCAGACTGCAGACTGGCTGACTGCCACCTAAAATAAGAACGAAATGAGATACCACACTAAATTAGAGAATAATTTTACCAAACACTTATCTTAGTCTTTA